CTTACTTACATCTGTTACTCCCAATGAAGCACAGGCTACCGACCAACATTCTCCAACCCAATCTGTCCTGGGCATTCCTTTCTAGTTCTATCCAATTGTTGTTCGTTCTTCTCATGTCTGTCTCCATTTCTCGATGTAATGTGTTCTTTGGTTTTACTCTCCTCCTTTGTCCTTGAGGATTTCAAGTGAGGCTTAGCTTGTGATGCAGTTGGGTGCTTTCCTCAATGTGTGTCCTATCCACTTCCAGAGCTTCTGCCTGATTTCTTCCTCCGTTGGGATCTGATTTGTTCTCTCCCATAGTAGGTTGTTGCTGATAGTGTCCGGCCAACACTTGTTCTTATAGGATAAATTATATTGGTTGCATAAGATGAAGCATTATTGAATTCATCTCAGAATATTATTCAGTTTAGTTTTTTTAAAAGATAATAAAGAATAATCAGTAGTTCAATATGAGGACATGTACGCATGCTACTTTACTAAAGTCATTTTTCAGAGTAATCTACACAGTCAAACGAGCTGAATTATCGAGAGTACGAATTGGAAATCTGTGTATAGTTATTTTGATCTTTACAATATTATGTTTCAAGCAGCGGTGGTTTATATACAGATATGCCGGACCGTGTGTGCATAAAATGAAACAATTATGCATAAACAAGACAAGAGTAGATGTGAATAAGTGAGACCGTAAGTACTGGACTGGCAGCAAATTAGAAATAGTACATCGCATAATCGTAGTTAATGGGTTAACCAAAAGCCTATGATAAATGGAATATAGCATACATAGTATTCTAGTCATTATGATTAATAACAATTCAAAAAGCTGATTACAACTTTTACAGTATTCGTCCTTTTAATGGATTCAGTAATACATACTCGAACTCTAAATAATGCCTATTATCCCACAATCGTGTTAGAATTCAATTGCGAACTTTATTTTTACTGTTAACTTCCACACTACTCATTAGAAGCTGAATGGTGATATCATTCATTTTCATTCGAAAGCGTTTCCAAAAAGTGTTAACTCTCATGAAACTCCATAGGTTGTTGAGTCTGTTAAATGAACCCTCGGTCCCATCTACTTTCTACTTCTAATAACTTCAGGCTGAATCTACATAGAAACTTGAACACAAGAGAAATGGTTTGAAGGGCAGAAAGAACGCTTTTCTCCACGGTTAAGGTATGCACAGAAGAGAAGGAGAGTGTGAGAACTCTATTTTATAAAGCATGACTCAATAGTTATTGTCAGACAGAAAAATAAACAACAGCTATACGAAGAATAGAGTAAGTAATACAGACATAGGCGCTCAGATAAAAACGGTAAAGGTTATAAGCAAATAACTGACAAGGCCAAAAATGTGTGGATAATGGACCAAGAAGAATAGATCAATCGTTCTGTCCAAAGGCCAGAATAATCGACATAAGCGTGACATAGTACTGAACGCTATAAGGTAATGTTTAAACATATAGAAAATGGGTATCCTAAAGGTTGCAGTAAGTCATCTAAAAATTGATAGCATTACAGCTTTCTTTATAAATGTTGTTTGGGAGGAAGAAAACTCATGAAATACATAAATTACGAAGACATTTATATTCATTATGACACAAAGTCTTCACGTTTGTTACTGATACACAAGTCCTCAACCTGCTACTGAGTGAGAATGAAGTTTAATTGGCCTAAACTGAATCAAATACTTAATCGTACATGTATATACACAAAACTACTCCTTAGAAAATGAAACCGTTCCTTGGCCAATGACATACACTTGTCATTAGATTTATGATTGGCACAACATGATGATGACTGTGGTCGTTCTCCAAGTTTCAGCCCCTAAAGTAAAAACTGTCTTCACGTTCACACTGAAGATTTTGAATTTCGTGTTGGCTAACGATTGTTCAGGAGTATTGTCCTTGCTTTTCCAAACAGTGCCTTCAGATATACATCATATCCTCCATTTTTATCAATGATGCAGCCTAGTTACGTGTGATGCCTATGCAACTCTCACACTCGCTTAGATCTCACTTTTTGTATCTTGATGAGGTATCGTTCTTTCCAGTCTGTTAGCACTTGTTCATCCCCCTTAATCTTCCTGAATAGAGTGTGAAACATATTTGCAGTTGTTTCCATGTCTGACTTCAGCTGATATATTGTCAGGTCCTGCTGCTTTCCCACTGTTGATTTGTCTGATGGCCTTCCTGATTTCTTCGATCGTTGGTGGAGTGACATTTATAGGATATTCTGTGCGTATTATTATTTTGTTTTATTTGAACACATACATATTGGTACAAGAGGGCACCAAATATATATGCGCCACGACATTTCATCATATTTGTGTGTGGGCTGTGATATTGACGAGTGCCCAGACCGAAGCAGGTGGTTTTCTTAGGGGGCCACTCCCGAGCCTTTGACCTAAGGTCTAACCCACGAGGCAGTGGAGCATCGTGAGATGTAGTCCCATGGTAGCCGGTGACCAACAATTGGTTCATACGCATTTGTTCCGCAGGATACTGGAGCCCATGTGCACCACTGGTTTGGATCCGGTTAAAGCGCCGGAAATTCGATTTTCGCCTTCTCATTTTCGTAAAAAACACCCCCGCCACGAGAAGACAGTGAGTAGGACTTCCCTGGCAGAGGTTGTATACGCGTGGCCGTGTGAGAGCATTTCGAGAGGGAGGGCCCACCTCACTATGTCCATACCAGGGCATTTGGGGGCATTCTGTGTGTGCTGTTCGATATCCGGTGGATTCAATGTAACTGGTCTATTCAAGATTTCCTTAAACTATTCTACCCATCTGTTCCTCTGTTCTTGAACCTCGGTGATTGTCTTGCCTTCTCTCTGGTTTACCATATTTCCCTACTAGTTTGTTCGTTGCTGTCTTATATTTCCTTCTCTTGGTGCTTTTTCTTTGTATTTCTACTTGTCGGCTTTAATGCTCCTCTTCACACTTGTTTGTTTCTGTGTATTCGGGTTGTGCCATGGCTTTCTCTACCCTTATTGAACTGTTGTTAATTGTTGTCTTCTTATTCTTTCTTTCTTGAAACTTGTACAGGGTTCTCATAGAGATCCATTCGTCATGATGCTGCTTCTTGCGGCCAATGACTCCCTGATACGTTGAAGTTAGTGTTTAGTTGTTCCTTTTCAGTTGTTCTCTATAGTAATATAGACTGAGTAGATCTTGTAACGCTTGGAACCTGTTGTTGAGAGCTATCTTGTATTCGTTGAATTTGTTAGTATCTCGAAGGAAGGCTGTATTGAACATTTGTAGTGCTGTTTGTCCAGTTTTTCTTTATTTTCATCCTGGCAACCACCAGGTGCAGACCTGTAGCTATGTCAGTCCCTTTCTTCATTTTCACTTGTTCCATGGATATTCTGAAATTTATTGAAGCAAATTTGGTCTCTATACTGTGATCCGTGAGACTCGTATATCTTTCTGGGGGAATATAGCACCGCCTATAACCAGTTTGTTGCAGGTACACAAATTCTCAAGCCTCTCACACTTTGCGTTCCTTCTTTGTTTTGAAGAATGCTTTTATGATCCTGGATCCAAGATGTTCCCATGCTTTCCGTGCTTCTTTGGAAAACACTAGTGCAATTTCGCATGTACGAAGCATCTTTACCTTCATGACCAGACTACAACAACAACTTTCCCGAAGCTACTGTTTTCTGTCCAGCTTGGGCTTCATTTATTCAGAGAATCGCAAGTTGTATCACCTCATTTTCGCGGCTAATTGATTGGTCCTCCCAGTCTCCCACATTGTCCGGACATTCCACGTACGTATATCATTTGTTGATCTGGTTGTTAGAAAGAGCATCGTCCTCGTGACTTTAGAAGAATGTCAATTTTCACATTGACGTGTCCTAATTATTCTACATGAAGATCTTTTAACTCTCCGGGCGGAGTTTAAATGGTAAAAATGATTTTTTCCGGTAAGCGTTATCTTAACAAGGTCAACTTTTGGAAGATGGATTGGCTGACCCCATCCCAACCGTCCTTTACCCTGGCTTGGGACCTGAATTAATCCTAAAAGGGATATATACAGAGTGTTTTTGTTTGGATAGATTCTTATTTTTAACTAGGCAGGCTTCACAGTTTACTGATAGTTAACTGGTCAATTTTTATTAGTCTTTAAACGTTTGTCAATATTATTTTATCATTGTGTTTTCAGTGTTCACTAAGTATTAGAGATTAAATTTACAACTTTATAATGTAGCTTGGTATCCTGGGCATCCTGGTTTTCGATATTACTAACTAGAAGGTATATCCACCTTTGAAGAGGTGACCTGAAAGAGTGGGACAAGCATAGAGAAAATGTGTCCTACTCTTGTAATATTCAAATAGGATTAATTTTAAAATAAAGATTTTCATCTCATATTTAATTGAAAGCTAATTGATCTTACTTAAAGTATCGCGCATAAGTAATAGTACATAGTAAGCTTTGCATCATGGATTAATCTGAGACACTTATTCAAAAGTAGGATACATTTTACACCTATTTTATGTCAGCATGCAACACCCTAGATGTGGGGATCGCTGACCCCACTAGGGTCTGGACCGATCTTGGAACAAAAACTTCACTTATAGGCACCGAATATTTTAGACACTTAACAGTAGTAAATTTGCGAAACTGCGCGACCATCTTCCGATATCAATGACAAATATCTGTCTGTTTTAAGTTGATTTAAACAAAAAAAAACACTGCAAGATTTCTTCAGATTTGCCTTTTATTTACTTCAAAGTAAACATTTTGTAGAATACAGGTATCATCGACAGTCTTGACAACATCATTATCAAGAATAAAGCTTATTTTTTCACACATCATAAATGAATCAACCTTGTAAATGTGTCCATAACAGTCATTACAAAGATGATCCACAATAATAAAAAACGTGGAAGAACAGAACATCATCAGTCCGAATTAATTCAGTTTCAGTCGTTAATTGCATTCAACAATAAATAAATAATGGGAATAAAAATTCGATTTCTTTAATTATCTACTTGTTTCAAACAACAACTTCCATGAATGAACATTGGTCGCACCCAACGCATAACAGTTGGACAATTTCTGCTGATTTGTGAAGCATGTCATTAACATTTGAGTCATCATTTTGTGTAAGTGATTGACAATTAATAGTATTTTGATCAATAAGCCAAGCATGTAGTGATGTATTGGAACAACCGGAAGTTTGATGCTTTGTTTCTGCATCAATTAAACTATTTTTTATGGTGGTAAGATTGAGACTATCAGTCTAGAATAGTAAAAAAACGATAGGACTTGTAGGAGAAAAGAAACGTTTCATATATTCAATTAGTGACTTTTCGTTAGTTTAAATCACGAAATGATTTTAGCCAGGATGGAACAACTGACCAGTGCTTTTTAGGTTTTCAATGATAGTCTGGCTAATAACAATTAGTGACATAAACTATCGAAATTTTGAAATCGTTACAAATTCCTCACATACTAATCATATATAAGTGTTCGCTAGCTATTCATACGACATATTCCCATCATACGATGGTTTCTTCAGTACAGGGTTGTGAAGATTGTTGAGTTTTGATTGGTATCATGAACGGATCAATGTTAGGCCACCATTGAAAACCTGGAAGCACTGGACGGCCGTTTCGTCCTGGTATGGGACTCCTCAGAAGTGCAAATCCACAATCCGCACGCAGGACTCACACCAACAACCTTCGGTCTCGCGTGCGAACGCTTAACATATAGACCACTGAGCCGGAATCCAACAATGTTAGTATCTAACTCCAACCAATTCACGATATTGCGCGACCATTCTCAATTGTCTTCAGTGAGTAACTGCCTCACATCGGACACGGTTGAACTCCACTGGTCATAGCTTCTCATTAGAACTCCACGAAATCCATTTTGAAACCAGTCACTAGTGTTCACATCATTATTATCAGTGTAGGGTGGCGGAGACTGTTAAATTTTGTATATTACGTATACTACTGACTAAAATTCAGTAACTTATAACATTCTAACTATTTTTCACAATAATAACTGAAATTGCCTGTTCATACAACACATAACCTTTAATCGATTAATTATTGTAATTGTATCCTTTTAACATTTTAAATTATTTACTCTCATTTTTCATGTATTCACTGGGATTTATTTATTTGTAACAGTCCCCATAATTCATGAGCTTAGCTATCGTGTCAATTTTTCGGATGACTCAGTGAATTAACGCAGCTACTGGTCGTTACATAGTTTGCTGTAGATAATTCCTGAGTAACTACTGAATGAAACACATTTTTAATCATACCTTGACATTTTTAAATGCTTTATGGAGCTTAGGAATTGAGTTTTTCAAAACCCATTGTTTACACCAAAGCAAGCGCTGACCCTGTATTTTGATTTTGATATTTCACGTGTTACCCAATCGTTTGGGTACGAATCCTCGAGCACGTTTAACACTGAAAATATAACCTTGGATACTAATCAGTAGTGAGCTCATTTAGTCTCTTTTTGAGTCATCAGTCGGATATAACTGGGCCAGCGTTGATGTTAAGATTGGAACTTGAATGTAGTACCAAATTTGAGTGCCATACATTAAGAGCCCTCTATAATTCCTCAAAAAAATCTTTAGAAAGTAGCAGACGTGGGGTGTGAGAGGAATATCGTACTGATAACTGTACTTTAGTGTGAAAACAGTAAAGGGTTCATCTTAGGCAACTAGCATCTGGAGTGATGGTGTCTTTTCACAATGGGAGAAATGGGTCGGAACTTTAAAAAATCAACCTCATTCATCTTGCCTCACAAATTTCCGTCGTCAACGGTAAAGACTTTAATATACGAAGCTAACACTCAAGAACTACTTGCGCAAAGGACTTGTTTGACAAGGTTCAATCAGTTGTTTTTTAGGCTTTATAATCACTCTTCTAAGTTGTTAAAACCAGTTCTAATACAATGTGAGGAATCATGATGTGACCTTTTATGAAAACAACAATATATTCGTTAATAATAAAATACACATAAGCATATAACGGTGTACTCACTTGAGTATCTAGATTTAAACTGCATGAAGAACAAGTGAGAATTGTACTATTCATAGATAAATAGCCACTAGAAACAGAACGGAAGAATGATGAATTAGCAGTGATGTTCAAATTAAATCAGTATGTCTAGAAAAGAATTAAGGAGTTACAATGCCGGACTGGAATTAAAGGCTTTCAGATTATCTCATTTTGGTAATTCTTTTCCAACTGAGTAGCTTGCATGTAGACGAAATAAAAACCCCATGGGATCTCTTTACATATTCGGTAACACTAGTTATGGATGAAGTCGTTGTTTAAGGGTTTCTGTGTCTTTGTTCTAAATATTCACCTATGTAAGAAGATGGGGTTTCACCGATCTTGATTCTTACGCCCGAAGAACAAATATGATAATTATACAATTAATTTAGCTAAAAATCAAACTAATGGATCTGCAAATAGTTACAGAATTTGCGCTGTTACATAATAAGTGGAATGGTATTGCCTAAAGAAACGGATATGAAGAATCGAGGAGTCATAATTAACAATGACCCAAGAACTATGAATAACTGTAAGGCTACCGCTGCCAAAGGCTCTAGGATCGTTATGGACTATTCGTAAGTCATTCTTTAATTTAGATTAAGAAATATTTAGGGTATTATACACGTTTGTAAAGTCACACATGGAATGTGGAATTCAAGCGACGAGTCCTTGCTTCAAGTATAATTAACACGGGTCACTTGACCCCTATCCTTACTACTAGATTCCAGTATAATAATAAGATAATATGTTTTCAACAAAGCGATTTCTTGTCATTTACACGTTCATGAGGTATTTATATCTCAAAATCTTTCAATATATTCAACATGGAGATAACCATTAAATTTAATGCACTTTACTGAAACCAGACAGTCATAAAAAAGATTTAAACTAAATTGGTGTATTCAAAGACTAAGTTGTCAATCTTTCCAATATCCTGGTGAGCATAATAGTTTTCAACAGTTAAATATTCAAGGTTTTAATTTATGGTCAGTATACCGAAAAATCCTCTGATTTTACATTACCAGTTAATTAGCTGTGTTTGTTTGAAGCTGGAATGAGGTTTACATTAATGTTAGTTAGGCATTTGAACTATTCCGTTGTTAATATTCAGGACTGGATTTTGATTAATTTTGTTGGTATATACTTGCATTCATTAACCGTCAACCTCGACGTAGCTATTTCTTTCAAACGTTTTATAGAATAGGTGGATAGTAGTAGCAGTGGAATTTAGTATGGAAGTTTCTTCCTATTTAGAATCCTTTAGCTAGATAGGTTAAGTAGGGGTTCATTGGCACAACTTCCACTTCAACCAATCCGGTATATAACGCAACGATCACCTAGTATCATCAGTGACAACTTTACCACTCTCAATGTGTCTAGGCTCCACAAGTCACCACTTATCACTAGAAGTTTAAGAAATCTCTTGAAGTAAGTCACACCAGTTGAGTTGACCAATATACTTTAGCTGAAAGGGCTTAATATCTATGACGAATATAACCGGTAAATCACATTAATTGTCTATTAATGTTGTTAAATATCATCAGTCACTATCGTGTGCATCCATCCAAGGTCAAGTTAATTAATCAAACAGAGAAGAAAAACTGTATTCGAATAAAATTCAATTCGCATAAACTACAACTTACATTCGACATAAAGGACAAAGAACATTTTCATTGTTAGATTCATTTGGCAAATGAAATTGATTTGCACCATTATTATTACTATTTGTATTATTCCAAAATTCTGGGTTGAAATATTCCTCAATTTCTAAAATGACAGTCATAAAATGTAGAAATGTATTCCACGGATAATATACAATCAAACGAATTAGCACTTAACTCCAAAGTGCAGGTCGTAATTTACTCATAAAGAATTAAGATATATGTAACTAAAGTATTTTTAAATGGCTGTCTGGAGGCCTGAATAGTTTATTTGAAACATCTCAAACTATGAAGCAGGGAGACACGAATACAAATCTCACAGGGAACACATCAGTTCTCTGAAGACGGCAGGTACGCACTACTGACATGTCGATTAACAAAAAAACCTAGGTTCAAGGTATCCTAGCGACTTCGGACTACCATTTACTATTTCAGCATAGTACACACGATGTCAAGTCATGTAGACTAGTTACTAGCGCATTGTATCTTAACTGATAGAATTCGATCAGCATTAAGAACTAGATAAACATACATAACTCTACATAACACTGAGCCCTGATACCATCTAATTCGTGCAACTGGATAAAAAGTGCGTCCTGAATTCTGCTGTTAGCTACTATTCAACTTCAGAAAAAACTTATAAGTAGATGGCGATGTAGGGGCAATTCACTTGGGACAGTCGTTAACACTGACAGTGGGAAGGTACAAACCCTTGCAAATAAGATGATTGAGTAAAATAATCAAACTGTTAGGATTAAGATAAATTCCTGAAATATCAAAGCGTATATTATGTAAGTAGCTCAGATAGTCAAGAAGACAATCCTGTAATAATAAGATTTTGATGAGGTTTCATTATCTAAGCTGCATGGTGTAATCGTGGAACTTTCATTGTTCATTTTACAACACCATCAGTAAAAACTTTAGTCATTCAGGGTTCCATTACAGAACAACCACACTTTTTACACAAATTTCTGAATTTTGTGCTGACGATGTTGTTTAGAAGGACATTAAAAACTTCACAATTAAATTACCAAGTTCAGAGAACGAAACTGCATTAAAACAACACACCAGAGCTACCAATCTCTACCGTCTATCTCATAATCGGATTAATATTCATGAAAACATAATACAAATCAAATGTAGTTTGGAAATACGGAAAAAAATGGTAAAAATACAAGAAGTATTAAATGAAAAGCAACAGTTCCACTAACCAACAGATAATTCATCTAGAACTCTGTCTTGTAGTAAGATTAAACTGTCCAGATCTAATTGTTCCGCCTGGTAAGTGGGGGAGGAGGCAAGGGAGATTTTCAACGGTAGATGGAAAGAGAGAAAGAAACGACTGTTAAATATAGAATCTGATACCGATAGTCATAATTATTTTTTCCATTAGTTAGCAAAAATATTTTTACTACGACTAACTTAATATTAATATTATTCCCGGTCGATGGACATTATTTGAGAATATATATATATATATATATATATATATATATATATATATATATATATATTCAGTGATAGTGCAATAAAACTGTCACCTTCATAGAAATAAGATGCAAACAAGGTATCATGACTATGTACTGTTTATCAACTGTTGATGATATGAACGAGATGCCCCTCTAACAACTAATAAAGTTAAGCTTTAGACCAGTGTATTAGTGATTGAAAACAATTGACAAGCCGTACATGATGTCACGTACAAATTGAAAGGTTCTCAAAGTTTATGTCACAGATTGAAGCGAACCTCGGAGTTCTGGTCAGAAAATCCGTGATAGGCGGAGTTCAGTTATATGAGTAGTGAAGCAGTTATTCAATAATGACATAGAAAGATGAGTGTGTAATACCGGGAATTGGTTGAAGTTATCGATGCAAACCAATGAGTATCTATTCAGTCGTTTAAATTTTAAATGTTCATTACGAGATCTACAATTTCCTGGGTATAATGCTTAATGAGTTGTCAAATACTTCTTAATGGTTATCTAGTTACGGCTTATAGATGATGTAAACTATAGAAATTCTACATCTATATTTGGTATATAAGTTGCATAATATTCGATGGTAGATAACAAAAAAGAGAAATTTAAAATTAACAATGCTGTAAGATTTTTTTCACGTTTTTGCTAACTGATAGATCGTGATAACCATATAATGGAATATAAATACAAATAGATAAATACACTACATACTTCACTACCTGAGACCAAACTTTTTAAAAGTTCTCTTTTCTCTTGAAGAAGTAGTTGATCGGTTAAACTATCTGGTTCTGAATTGTATACGTTTCGAAGGTGATCGGTAAAATGTGTACGTTTCAATTTCATTGATTCCATAAAACGCTTGTATAGCAAAGTGGTAGCAATAAAAAGACACAATAAGAGACAATTAATGGAGAGTAATATTACGAAAAAATAAATTTGATAATTTGTAAAGAAATTTAAAAAAAAATAAATATAATTGCAGATCATCTGATGAATTAACCGTGGAAGCTATTATATTCTCATACTAACAGTCCTTAGGATAGTTGTTAGTTAACTAGTGATTACAATAAGTTACATATCAATAGGGTTATTCAGTATATTCTCAGTCAAGTTCTATTCATAATTTAATATTTATCAAGAAACTATGATGGTTGATACTGGAGCAGAAGTTGATCATCAGACCTGAATGTGTTGATAGTTTACAGATTAACAACTGTTTGTTACAGATAATAACTTTTATTCCTACAAAATGTACGAACTAGAGAGGCTTAAGCTTTTAGTTTTTCTTAAATGACAAACATTTAGTAAGTGTATTTGATATATTGCAAAAACTTACGGTACACCAGAAAAATAGATAAAAGATGACAATACTAAGTGTTAAAATACTACATACCATTAGGCTCTTAAGCTTACAGCTAGTTCAGCAAAAATTAGATTATTACCGGGTATTATAACGACTGAAGGAAGTAATGTATATAATTTTCTTGTTGAAGAATCAGACACATCTTTATCTAATTATAACCTAGAGTAGAAAATCGAACAAAATTCTTTGAAGGATGATACTGATTGTTCATAGGCAACCAATACATACGGTATTGGATTAGCCTAACTTGATAATAAGTACTGTACAGCTGATCAGTTAGTCAGTCAACTACAACGTAGGACCAGGCACATACATGGTATCGGCCCAAGTTGCCGCACCTCATTAGCACAAGATGAACACCAAATTCAGAGAAGTATTTACTTCAAAGGTAGTAATATATAAAAGAGAGATTGCATATAAGGATATAATACAGGGAGAAAGAATTACCTTGTAGAAAGAAAGGCATAAAGTAATTTTAATCTCACGGTTTAAGGGAAGACAAAGAGTGTATACACCGACGCCGTTGTGGTCGATTCTGAGCCATGTCACCCAGTTTCCAACCATTGGTTACGGTAGTCATGCGGACCCCAACCATGTAGTCTGCATCTACCAACATGGCTCACATTAGAAGTTAGTGACTTCAAGCACTGATGCCACGTTTAGGTTTGGCCGCCCTAACTTTCTTCCAACCGTCTCCAACACTAGTCAGTATTGCACGTCATGCTAATCGGTGTTCAGGCATACGTAACACGTGATCCAACCATCTCAGTCGATTAGGATTCACAATTTCACCAACTGATTTACCATCATTGCCAAATACCCTGCGTCTAATCTCACGATTACTTACCCGATAGAGTTGGACATTGGTAGTTACTATACTATAGTGATAAATTTCGTTATCATTAGTGTTAGCCATACAAGACAATAGTAATTATGACACAAATAACAACAGAAGTAACCATGTAGATTGACAGCATATTCAAACATTGCCAAGACATAATCATAAAAACTTTGTTATAGAGAACATAACTTACTTTGTGTAGCAGATCTCTCCATTTGTTTTCTTTATGCTGAAATTGTTTTGCATACAGTTCTTTGTGTCTATTCATTTTAGACCGGTGGGAATCATGTACCAAAATTGTTTTGTCTATCATTTAAGAATATGGTTAGAAAATTTAGATTGTAAGAAAAATTCTTAACAACAATACAAAAGTATATCAACGATGAATAACGGATGAACAGAATTTATTTTAGCATTAACTCACTGCCGGGTGCAGATTCTAACATTTGGTTTCGAGTCAAACTTTAAATATGAAGGCTAGTAAGACTAGCCAGCTGCGTAAACCGAAGTGGAACGTAGTTCGAACAGGGGACTTAGTGACTGAAGGTGGAACGTCTTAGCTGCTGTCCTACGTTTATTTAATTTTACATGAATAATATGTCACCATTTGACTGAATACAAATCAAAATCAAATCTTTCGATATGTTAATTCGAGTATTCGGGAATGACAGGACCAGAGAGGAAAAGGTTGGTGGATACTGACGTGAGACGGTTTTAAAGCTGACAACATTTATATGATATTAACTGTTATAATGGGACGAATATTGGAACTTTGGGTACTACTTATCGGACTATTATTACCTATATTTTTATTGCAGAAGCACTAGATAACTGTATTTTTGCATTTATATATTCTCTTATCGTAAGCTTTGAGCAGACCTATTAACTGTCGCTATACATTTTATTATCCCTTAGTTACTGTTAACTAAGTATGCACTGTTTATTCCTCCGTCTACCACTGTAGTGGACGCTACTCACAAGATTGCTTGTAAGTAGTGTGTTGCGAGAAGTGACGTCAAAGTTGCTACAATTGTCAAACTGAGTGAAGAGTTTCAGTGCATCGAAAGCACGGCGTTGGCAGAACACTTGGAGACAAGACGCGAAGACAGTTCAGATGGAAGTATACATCGAAAGATGAAAATGGACAATTGAAGCTTTGTTGGGCATTATGTAAATACTTTTTAACTTCTCGCAATAAATATAAATATGGATCCACCTGCTATTTGCTGTGTTTAACACCACTTGTGGTATGATTGTGTTTAAAGTATGGTCTCGCATTTGGTGTTCTACGTGATCAGTCGTTTCGAGTATATTATTGTACGAGTCTTGGGTCATAATTGAATAAACTGGTTGTTGACTTTTTGAACTCAAAGCGCGGCATAGAGAAGAGCTTTAGCATGTTGGCTCACGGTTAATGGTTTAGATCAGAAGTGTTATTGGTACAGTCTAGGATGCCAGGTTATGAATGAAATAGTAGAAGCAAGATAGGGGAAATTATAGTCGGAATTCTAATTGATGAATTTAACACGTGATAGCGATTAGCATTACAAGTCATAACAACTACAGATAGATATATTATAATAATACATATAGGGAGTACAAGTTTCGGAAATAAATGGAAATTGAAAAAGTATATTTTATTATTGTCATTTTAGCCAATGAAATTAATAACAAAGCAGGTTGATTTCATTTTAAGATCTGATTATCTTCACGTCACAAGGCTATTGATCATTCAACTAAGTGGACACTGCAAGTTTTGGAACCTTGACAAGAACGAACTCAAGAAATGCAGGCTAACATGTTATGGTTAGTCAGTTTCCAAAAAGTCAATAATCTTAACATATTACAAAGTTTCGGGAATTGTGTTACTACAAACAGAACGTTTTGGTGTCGACACCAGGAGGTAGCGGAATTTTTATTAATCGGTTTGGAGATAACATGTTAGGTTTGAACGTCACTTAAAAAGTGTTTATAGGTAAACGGTACTGAGTTTAAGAACAAGACAGTTACTAACATTAATCGACTCACGGTTATCTAAAGGTTAAGAGATCGCTGTGAGACCTGGAGGTTCTGGATTCGATTCACTGCGGGATTGTAGATGTCCACTGCTCGAGTGGTTTACTGAGACGGAAAAATTATCCAGTGATTCAGAGATCCTACTGGTTGTCTTAACTGAAGCCGGTTTGTAGTGCAAGTAATAAAATTTCACAATTACCAGGAACCCTTCAAGTTTACTAGTAGCTAATTATTTGGTCTTGAGATTTGTATTTTCTGACTTTTGAATTTGGTTAACATTACAAATCAATGGGCAGAATTGGTGAAGTATAGTATACTGTTGATCTTGGGCTAACTATTCAGAACTAAGATAACGCCTCATGTATTTTGTGCAAAATTTAAAGTGCGATGATATATATCTTGCGTGTTATTATTAAAGTAAAACGTATTTGAAATATTTGGTCCTTAAAATTAACAAAAGTATCTATTGTGTAACCTAAAAGTGAACTTAAGATGATGATCAAGCTAAACTACGAAAAATATACTTGCTCCTTGGGCAGATTGTGTATTAAGGTAATTTACACGATTCGATGCGTAGTCGAGTGCTTTGTGGAGCTAGATAGTGTTCTCTCCCACTAACCCTTATTTTAAATATTAACTCTAAGTTTACTAGGTTCATAAACAGAAGGTTGACAAAATGTTACCTCATAGCTGAAGTCAGTTCGTGAAGAAAACCCGATTTTGTAAACCCTTCTCAGAACTTCAGCTAAACCTATAATGCCTAACACTAAACATTTTGCATTATCGCTGATGTCAGTTAGTGACGAAAACTCTAAGGGGTGATAATACTAGCTCGACTCTTAATTTGTATTTATATGTGTATACTTGACCTATTTACTTCACTAAAAGGGATAATTTGACATATGAGGTTTAATTCCAGTCAGTCAGTCAGTAACAACGTAGAACTTCGTACGTACGTACATCAGTTCGAGTTGCCACACCACATTAGCACAGAGATGCAGTTGTCGATTCAAATCCCGTAGTGGTAAGACAGTAAAAGTATAAGCAGCAATCGGAAAGATTAGGGTTTGGAGATGTTTAATTATTCAGATTAAAGCTATTACTCCTATGTTATTTCACTGGTTTGTATTGCTAATTGTTTTATAACTAGTCAGCATTTCCTTATTGAGTGAAAATTTGTCCAAGGTCGTCAGTATAGTATACTTTTACCGCAGAATTTAGATACAAACAGATTTTAATTTAAACCAGTAGTAAGCCGTAAACTGAAATACTAATCAGACAATCATTACTTAGAAGTTAGTCATTTGTGTAGGATTTAGGATTTCATAGTTTAGGGAGCTATATAGAAAACTAGTGTAATGTGCTTATTCTTAAAAAGATTTTTTCCCCATTTCAACCAAAAATATTAACTAGTGTTTTCAAAATAAACTGAAAGCCAGTGATAGTTCGTTTTAATTATACTCGTATTAGGTACTAATTGGAGTCAAACAATATTGGCAAAGTTATTCAAAAGTAGACTTCTACTTTATTAAACTGAGTTGTCAAGTAGAGCTCTTGAAATAATAAAGAAAGTCTTAAATACATTTCTCTATTGAAAGAAAAGAAATCACCAATGAAATAATGGTGTACAACTTGAATGAACTGTTTCATACACATATTCATTCATTCAATCATACATACACGTGAAAGAAATTGAAGAGGAGCTGAACATATGAACAGATATACACAGATATCATATAATATAAACTCGGGGAAAAACACAATTCATATTACTAGAAATAAAATTTATATTTACAAAATGTTAAGCTTTATACATTGGACTGATATACATAGAAAAGTAAGTCAGGAAGGAAGATAGACAATACTACATGAACTGATGATTACATAACTTGAGACTAGAAATTTAACCGAATAGATCACCAACTGTTGGTAACGGATCTAAACCGAAATTTGTCATATCAGGTAGAAGATGCAGATCAGGAAGATTTAAAATATGTTTATTCAGTTCACTTTTTAATGAGTGACCATGATCTAATTTCGACTTCAAGTCCTGTGCAAGAATAGTAAAACAAACAACAATAAATATAAACTGATGTAGATAATAAGAACAGGGAACAAACTGACTAACATTTTTATAAACGATTAATCACTGAGTATTGAGTAATATCACGCTTATCTATTCGTTTTTTGGTAGTGCTGAAATTTCATCGACCGCTCTGTAATGTTGCTCAAGGTAGTGGTGGAAGAAACCTTGGACTCAAGCTTTATACTAGTTGGCATTTATCATGGAGGTGTACCTGCAGTTTCGAGGGGACTGATGCTTCTTGTGAGATTCGAATCAATTTCTACATTCTAGACACTTCTTACTAACGGGTATCGGCTAGTATGAAACCTTAGTTTAGCGTTTTATGCCGACTACCTCCTACCGTCTAAAATCGCACCATATAGTGATCGATAATTTGTAGACACTATTGCGAGTGGAAGTGAACGCGATTACTACTGGTTAACAGTAACTTTTCGACACATTTCTTGCCCTACTATTCATAAAGTGTAATACAATTGAAATTTCATTTGAATACTGTTGATAATATGGTGTAATAGACAAGGGTTACGCCCGACAACTACGTCTTAATTTCATTTGAAAGTGAGTGACCGACAAAATTTTTATTCTCCAATTGCTTATGGTAATCTAATCATATTTATCTTTGTGTTAATATTTTCCATAGAAACATGTTATTTACTAGATAAACGACCTATTTTTATAGTCAGTGGTTTAATTTTCCAAGTTAAGTTTGTCCGTAGGTTTACATAAACAATTTCATTATCGTGAGGCGTTATCACTCGGTTAAATAATATTATCGCATTCTATCTATTAATTGACATTCTAAGCATTTCTTATAACAGTTTTTAAATAATTCATTTATCCATAAAATTTCTAATCTATAATGTTGGGTAATATGGCTCAAAATCAATTGCAGTTGTGCAGATGACTTCACTCTTTGCCTTTCCTCAGGTTCTAAGTTTCGGAATTATTTTATAAATTTTATTTCGTGAATCCATTTTTCCGCTCAATTTACTTTGTGTTACTGATATTATTATTACGACGCCTATCTACATTGATAGTCATCTCGTTGTTCTGATGTGATGTAATAACTAGGACGAATGGCTAGATGATGTACCGGATTCTACATTGATTATGACCGACCGACTGAATAACTGACAGTCTATAACATATTTTTACGAAGTTCATAACACGGGTATGGGAGACTAAACGGTGAGACTATAATTTATAGACGACCTTTGAGCAGCCCTAAAATGACCTCGGAATGTTCACCTACTTACTAAGGTTAGATGAGGGTTATATACTAGTGTGAGGAGTTAGGATTAGGATTTGCAATTGAACGCCATAGTTAGGAATTAGATTTAATGTTTTCATCACGAACTGACATCAGCTATAATGTCAAAATGGTATTTAGCCGAATAAGCAGATGAATTTCGCGCCAAAATCCAAGGCGTGCTATCTTAAATCTGATTGATTCGTTCATAAATCATAGTCTCGCTGACTGAACTAATGCAATTAATTTGCAACAAGAACACGAATACTGGTTATCGTGAATATATAGTTGTAAAGATGTACTGAGAAACTGTATAATTTGGCAAAATGATGGAAAGTAAGCGATGAATGATCTATCGAAACATACTGTAAGTCATTTTGACGCAATAAACAATAGTAATAAGCTAGGTGATTATCTACGAGTTAATAAATAATTTGTCTATAATATTCAATTATATAACTGAGACATATCAGTGGCGACGGGGTGAAAAAAGCCAAGACAGTCAGCATACAGAATTGTCGTCGGTGTCCTTGAACGAAACAGGCTATTAACTTGTCATGCTGTATTTTCTATTACCGTGTTGATTCATCCAGAAAGAGAAAATGGCTCTCCCTTCTGATCAATTACAGTTGCTATTTCAGCGACAACAGCAGCGTTTTAAAAAGAATCAGTTGAAATTTTTAGACAAATTACACACACGGCTGCTGAATCATCCATGCTTTGGAGATGTGACAGGAGTTAATGAACTAATATCTGAATTGCGTACAGAGCTGGAAAATGATTGCAGAATGTATGAATGTGTCAATAAAAGCCTCTATGAATCCTTGACAATCAGCAATTTAAGCGAAGCAGTAGCAGTCATTCATGATCCGCCCAGTGGTCCAGAAACGTCTATTTCAGAGGCATACCCTGTAGCGGGTTCAAATCCCATTGTCCCCGAAACACAATGTACAAACACTGACCTGTCCAACTCACAGGAGGGTGATGTCTTGTTAAATACACATGAAATGGATACAGCAACCGCCCACGAAGAAACAGAAAATGAATCAAGAAGCATAATAAAGACAGTTGCATCAAATGGAGCTCATCATTCTACGACAAAAGTTTCTAATGAATCTACTTATCGAGGTTCTCTAGTTGTTTTACCAGATATGAGTTATCTTAATGACTCACATCTTCTTGATCAAATTTCTTACGAAAATGAGAATATGTGGGTTGTATAAAATGCTGATCAAGAACCTAATGAAATTTTGATAGATGCTGATTATACTAGTGATGAAAATGTTTCAGAAGAATCAAACCTTAATGACTTCATATCAAGTGCAGTTGATCCTCACCATCTAGTCAGTTCTAGTGAACTCTTGATTTAATGCGGGAAATATGTTTTAAATAGAGTCACACTAACTGTTACCTGGGAATATGAGGACCCAACATTATTTCGTGGGGGAGGATAAAGTCAAAAAAATTTAAAGTCAAGATCTAAACTTTGAGTCTTCAAAAAAAAGAAGGGAAGGTGATATGACGGGAAGAAAAGTCAAAATTCGACTGATTTACTTATTATGAGTTTTGTTCAACATTATTTCCGTTTGGATTCAATGTAATGATTACTTAATGCAGTATTTTTTGTTTTCTCGTATGATATCTCATTCTGTATAACATACGATAGTCGTGTATTCCATTGACGTGAACTATGCTCAACATATGATTTGTCAAAACTGAGTATTTATTATATATGTGATTTCATCCTAATTATTAATCAGTGTGAGTACAATCAATATATAAATGAGTGTACTTTTGACTAGGGTTGTTGTCGTCGTGTTTTGGGGGTTAATAAATCTTCACTTATACTAGTTTTTGTATTTTTACTTTTGCGTCGTGGGAATTGCCGAGGTCTCTCGTTTCGGGTATAAGTGATAAGCGTTTCCGAAACAACAATCAGATATAACAAGTAGCATTCGATTGACAAGACATATCATTTACAAGGAAAGAAAAAAGATGTACGATTATCCAGTGAATTATCATTTTGCTTGTATAACTAAAACTAAGCGCTACATTATAGTTCGAATCCTACTTCAACTGTTTCAATATAGGTAACTCTGAATTAAATGAAAGTGTGGCTGTTCTAGGTCAAATGTACATAAGCTATGCTACTTATTTTTAAAGTTAATAGAATTTGGTAAATCAACAAAAAAAGTCAGTATAACATCATCTTTTCTAAGAATAACAATAACAACAGAACACTTACATCGACTTCAATTTTAGCCTGTAAAATTCGTTCGTTCAAATGACTATGAAAAGCACGTAATTGAAGAGCTAATTGGTTACGTTTAGTTGTTTCTTCTTCTAACAATTGATTGTAGACATCTAGTCGAGAGGAACATTTACTGATAAGTTCTATTAATGCTTGTTGTTCTTGTTCAGATGCTGATAAAAAGAAAGTGTAGTATGAGAATAAGAGGGGAAATGTCTCAGAAGATAATTGTCTATTTTAGTTTACCGAAAAGATATGTGGAAATTATTGAATTTTTATAGTTTTGAATCATGGGCTGATCTTAGTTGGACAACTGTTGGCAACTAAGAAAGACTGGATAGCTGGTTTGTCCTAATTTTGAGGGATTCTTAAACAGTGTGCATTTACGAC